GTGTGTGGTACACCCCCCTGTGTTTCTCTTTGTTGTTTGTGCGGAGTTTGAAAAAAAGAGTGGTTTTAAAAATGGATGAGATAAACATAAAGAAGAGTGAAAAAGAGTAGTATGATAAGTTTTATTTGGCTTATTTTTCGAATGTTGTATTATTACATCTTTCTCCTATACTAAACATAGCTACGGGATTGTCATATGTCCAAGCAATACGGTCCATTTCTTTTAACATTGATATACCTGTTAATGGTGTGGAATCCCATTTTGCTTTTATTAATTTTTTAGGGGACACATAATCATTATTAATTTCACAGATCACAATGAATCCTTCTATTTTTTCGAACACATCGATTTCGGTTTTTGTTAAAGGTGAGAGTGTTTCTAGACCCAAACCTTCTATATAATTATTGATGTCATGCATTTCATTGGATAACCAACATATTCTGACATTTTTGATAATTTTTGATATTAAATCAAGTAATTCGGCATCGCTTTTTTTTAGAGTTTTACGTATTAGTTCTCCATCATAGTTATCATTTAGATCAAATCTTGCTTGTTGAACTTTATCTGATTTCTTTATTATTCCTTTTGTCCACATTTTTAAAAAGTAATATGCTAATATATGATTTCATTTTAGTCGCTTCCATACCATGTGGCGTCGATATTTCCGACTTTAGTAACACCATCAGTAGCATAAATAACTGCATTAGTATTAAGACCTGTTTTTACAGCTACACTAACAACCGATTTAACCCATTGGGCGCAAGTGTCTGTAGACAACTGATAGGGATTAAAGATCCATACTCCAACTTCTAAGTCAACACCACTAGCAACATCATCCCAAGTTTCAGAAAGATCCCATGAATTTGTAGAGCTTAAATATTGATGAGATGCCCAGTTAGATTCAAACCAATTATATACTGTAGTAACAATAGATGTACCTACAGTAACTAATGTTCCGGCTGTAGTTTTTATAGTGCCTAATTTCGTACCAGTGTTTATACGAGCTTTAAGTCTCCTGGTTGTCGCATTAATAGGAGATGGTCCAACGAGTACTCTGTCACAACGACGTTGTGCATGTGCTATGACATCTGCTTTATTACCGTTACCGAAGGTTATATTCATGCTTATACCTCTGTAAGTGATATCGTAGCTATGAAGGGTTGTTGCCAACACCCCAGACAACAACATAGCAAAAGCGAATAAATTAAGTAACCTCATGTTCACATAAATTCTATAGGTCTGTCGAATATGAAATTTCATTTTAATATTTTCGTTAGATATTATTAACACCCAAATTTTTAGGTTTTATGGTGTTTGGGAGTGTGAAATTTTAAAATTGTAAAGCAGTCTTGGATTAGAAACAACAATTTTCATTGCTTGCAAATTGAATTTTAGTGAATTTTTTGCTTAACTAGTAAGTCAGGATTATGATGATAAACTTTAAGACATGGATGTCATATCATGGGGAGCAGCGCAGAGAGATGCTGAAAGCTATTGCATTTGGTGATGAAGATATTGATATTTTAGAAGAGATCGATCCTAGCCTGAGAGTGGAAAATGTCGAAGGAATAGCCAATTGGCCTGAAATTCAAACATTGTGGATCTCTAACAATCGGCGCACCAGAACACATAGCGCTCTGAGTATAGAAACAGCAGAACAATTTCTTGCAAAGCTTGAAGATAAAATAGAAAAAAAATTAAATATCAGCGATGATAGTTTCGACAAACCTATTCAATACTCGGGCTGGAACCAGGGTCTCACATTGTTGTCAAACACTGTAGGCGGAGGACCTGATTACCTATTGTTTGAAGACTTCAATGTTTCGCATGGCTTGATACGAAGGTTTATGGTGCAACCAAATCAGAACAATTTTCAATCATACTCTGAATCCATTATGCACCTTATCAACCACAATCCGATTATTGTAGATAATGCCGAATTTGTACGGACAAGCATTACATTCGAAGTTTATGACGAAAATATTGGTATCACGCCTTTCACGTTCAGCTCATCCATGGGGTGGGACAACGTAAAACAAAGCATAGGTAGAATAATGAATAACAATGATATAGGTTCTGGTAGATTTATGTATATAAGAGAAAACATTGTAAGAATTTTTGTAAATATCATATCGCCGTCTAGAGGTGCGGGCTTACTGGAAGCACAAGAAGAATTCGATTTGTATTACGACAATTTCGTGATAACAAAGTGCTATACAAACATAGCATGCTTTTATTGGTGCATTAGAAAAATAAAAAAGACAAAAACTCAAAATACGACACTGAGGAAGGTTGTGTTTGATACGGCACCATCTAATTTTGATATGCCCATCAGCATGGTAAAAACAGCTTTTGAGCGTTTGGATGTAAACGTTATACTTCTTTGCAATCAAAAACCAAAAACAGAGCTTATACGGAATACAATAAAATACCAAACCTATGAAGATATTCGATACAAATACATGATATCGTTTGAATGTTATTATTACCCATCAAGCGATGGCGTCTGGAGAATATTTTCCGACAACATCCCCGTCATAAGATCACACGATGAATGCGGATATGTTATGATCGATAACAAAAAATACTTCCTTATGATATATGAAAACAATCATTATGACATTGTCAAGACAATTAATATGCCAAGAGTATGCGACAAATGTGGGAGCAACAGCCATGATTCGAATCTAGCGAGGATTGACGAGACTACACGTTCAGAGTGTTTAACAAAAATAAGAGAAGAGATCGGGGATGTCATTGTCAGAAATAATATAGGTAAAACAAAAATCATTATATTTGATGCTGAGACGGTCCCAATCAATGGTTACCATCATCCCTACATGGTGTCATATCAGGTGTGTGACCTAGAGACGCAAGAGCTGATATTCAAAGATACGATATCGTCTTATGATTGCTTTGACAAATTTCTCGATGTTGTGTTTCAATACACAGGTACAAAATACCTTATTGGCTACAACAGCTCCAGCTTTGACAACTATTTCGTTATGAGAAGCATGTTGAAATATAACTTCAAGCTTTCTTCTGAAAATGTGATACTGTATCACAACAAAATACTTAGAATGAATATCAAGGGTATAGTGACTTGGGACTTGTATCAGTTCACAAAATCATCATTGCGAGATGCGTGTGTGTCTTACAACATAGGAGATTACAAAGACGAAGTCGACCATGATAAAATAAGTAGCATATTCCAAACACACAAATTTACTACAGCAGCGTATAACGACAAAGAGTTTCTCAAAATGAAGGTTAAAGAATATTGTGAAAAAGATGTTGAAGTGACCAAGAAGTTGTTCTTCGTTATTTACAAAGACTTGGTTAAAATAACAAATATAAACCCGCTATCTAAATCCACACTGAGTTCGTTAGCATACACCCAAATGCAAAAGTATTGGAAATCAAACGATATAAAAATAGAAAAGATCCCGATTGAATACAACGAAATTTTTACTTCTATCCCTGGTGGAAGAACGCAAGTGTTTAAGAAAGGAGTGTATCACGGCAATTTCGTGCTGCTAGATGTTAATGCTTTATACCCATATACCTGCATAGAAAACACTTTTCCTATATCTGCAGTGATAAGCGGAATGCCTACCAATGCTGATCACGTATATTTGGCGCTATGCAAAGTTGATCAAACTAAGCTGCGGTACAAAATGTTAGGTGAAAAAGATGAGAACGGCAGATTAAATTGGAACAAAAACATTGTCACTCAGTGGATATGGAAAGAACAGCTCGAAGTGCTGAAAAAATACGGGTGCCCAGTAGAAATAATAAAAGCAATCCATTGGGAGAAGAGTGCTAAGATATTTGGCATCATGGAGTATTACAAAAAAGTGAGAAACGAGAGCGCTGACAATATTGTGAGAGGCAAACTGTCAAA